AATTCAGTTTATGTTCCTTAAATAAATATACAGCTATTAAAACAGTTTCTAGGTGAAGTTTGTAATGGGCTAACTTTCTATTTTAAAAAAGGTTATCTGGGTGCATGACAGCCCACTGAGCGTTACCTCACTGGGCTTTGCCCCTCAATTGTCATTTGTGTATTTTTTGTCACTTTTTAAACTTCCTTAAAGGCAGCTCTCAAAATGTCAGCTGTCAAGGGGCAAGGAGCCTGTTGAGAATCTAATTGTAGAAGATAAAGTCTCCCCAAGTGACACTGCCACTGTTGGAAGTGGTGCCGTAGGCATGGCTTGTGCTATTAGTATTTCCCTGGGGCGTCTGGCTGGTGAACCCACCCTTGTTGATGTCACAGTGGACAAACTGAGGGGAGAAACTGTGGATCTTCAGCATTCCGGTCTTTTCTTTAGTACCCCTCCAAGAGTATCTCTGGAAAAGGTTCATTTTAGTTTCATAAAGCTATTTTCAGAGCTTTTGGAAAATATAACAGGTTTTACTAAACTGATGTCAATAAAAACAACATTTTACATACCATTATAACACACACTAGGACATGTAGTTTAAAAGGTTATTTAAAAACACATTTTGGGCTGGGGATTTAGCTCAGTGGTTCCATGGCCTGCCTCGCAAGCACAAGGACCCAAGTTCGATCCCTGATACCAAAGAAAAAAAAAAAGGTTGTTAAAAAAACACATTTCATTACAATTGGAGGATGAGATGAGCCAGCTGTGGCAGTGAACACCCACAGTCCTTGGAAGGCTGAAGTAGGAGGACTGCAAGTTCAAGACCATCCTGGGCTACATAGTGAGGCCTAGGACAGCCTGGACAACAGAGTAGGACACTGTTTCAAAAAAATAAAACAAAAAAAAAATTGAAGGAAATTTTGAAAAGTATAAAGAAAAATGTCAATTTTCTCTGTTAATGAGTTTGTTTCCTTTTCGGATACCTACATTGATTTTTCACTTAACTGACATTTTTAAAAATACTTTTGAAAGAAAATTAGTTACAGATACAAAGGCGTCTGTGGACGAGTAGTTCAGTTAATGGATGGACCCAGTTCTTTTGCCCTGGTGCCTGTCCTGGCCTCTGTGGGTGCTGTCATCGTAAATGGCTCAGTCAGGGGCTGGAGATCTGTCCCTCTCCACCAGGTGACAGCCCTTGCCTCTCCTCTCACTTCAGCTGGGATTTCAGGCAAACCTGAATAAGCCGACTTGGGATGGGAGTCGGGTAGGGGATGTGTTACTACCAAGAACAGATGAGTCTTGTAGGGTCCAGAGGTGGGGTATGGCACTTACATCTCTAGGCCTTGATTATCGAATAGGGCCACTTTACCCAATGCTGATCCCTTCTCCTGACTTCATTCTCTACCAACATAATGTTACCGGTGAAAATGATCACCACACAAAACCTAGAAAGAGCAGGGTGGTTAGCAGAACCAAGAGTTTGTATGAGTCCTACCAGTTACCTCCTCATTCTTCCCAGGAATTGGAGACTACTCATTAAATGGCATCTCTTCTCTAGAGAATGAGGGCCCAGGAAGAAGATGCTACAAAACACGGAGGAGGTAGGATGGAAATTCTGTCCATGTTGTAGATCGTAGAGGCCATCTGTTAAGGCATAGTGAACTGAGACCTCAGATTGTCCCGAGTAATCAAGATTGTCAGTAAAATTCTAAAGCCATAGTGAATGAATTAACACCATGGTATGTTGACTTCAGCTCCTCTCATAATGAACCACATCGGAGGCGCTCATCAATATGTAAACAGGGAAGTTGGGGCAGTGGGTTTAAAATTAGACCTGATGTCTTACGTGGAGGGACGGCGTTTCTGGTCTGGGAGGAGACAGTCTGGGGTGAGCACTGAGAGCCTGGCTTCTCCCTGACTGGCAGTGGGCAGGGAGGTGGGCTGGCCTCCAGGCTCACTGTCCCCTTCTGGCACCTTTCTGCTGCTAGGCTGTGTGGAGGAAGCTCTGCCTCACCCCGGGGAGATGACTCAGGCTTCCAAAGGCTGCATCCTGAGCTGAGTGCCAGAAGAGTTTCAGCGAGTATGTCCCACCGCTCCCCTCAGTGCAACTGAGCTTCCTCCAGATTCCTGAAGGTCCAAGGTCACAAGAGCCTATCTGTGGAAAATGATACTGGCTGAGACCCATGGAATATGCAGCTCTTGCTAGAGCCCCAGTACAGATTTAGAAAGTCAGAGGCTTGTTGGACAGAGGGGCCGGGATCCTTGTCTTTGCAGAATTTGAATTGTGTACTGAACAAAAGAATAGAAAGAAGTTACTACTTCCTGGTGCTATATAATTCAATTAAGGGCAGGAGATTTAGCTCAGTGGTTCTGCCGCCTGCTCTGCAAGCCCAAGGACCCAAGTTCAATCCCTGGTACCAAATAAATAAATAAATAAATAAATAAATAAATAAATACAATTCAATTAAGATAGTGAATATCTTCTGTTATTTAAAAAAATTCATCATATTCTTGTCTGACATTTCCTTCCTTCAACAGACAACCACCCTCTCAGATTCCAGAACCACATTCTCAGTTCCTCACATTTAAACAAGCATTCAGACAGTTTTGAAATTTTCCACAGCTCATAAAGACAGAGCATTTTGGTTGCTTGCATTTTAATTTTTCTTGAAGACCTAAAATTGTTTAGCAGATCAGAATGAATAGTCTTTAGTACTATGTCCCCAAACTGTCACACTTTTGCTCAAACTCAAGCTGTTACCCATACAGAAAACTTAATTCAATATTTTAAAAATACATTAAGACCTACAATGTACCAATAAAAGAATTTAATACAAAAAAAATACATTAAGAAACATTTCAGTTATGCAGAAAAGTATGTAGAACTAACACCTTTGAACTCACTATTAACATAAGAAAAAACACGACCCATACAGTTGACGTCTCCTGTATACCTACCCACCCCCAGATAACTATCTAGAATTTGATGTTATTCCCATGTTTTTAAAAAATTTTTTACTATGGTTTTGTTCCGAATATTTTAAAACTTCATATTATATGCATTTACTTGAAATTTGCTTTTTCCTCTTGATGTTATGAATGTTACACCCAGTGAGAGAGAACCAACCAGAGACCGATATTAAATCCACACAGGAGATTATTACCAGCCAGGACCTGAGCCAAGCATCAAGCATTGGACTCGAGCCTCCACTTGGGGGGGGGGATTAACATATTTTATACACCTTTGAGGCCAGCAGTTTCTAGGCCCCCCTATGGGATAGAACTAGTAAAGCAAGCAAAAGGTACAGAAGTGGAACGTCCTGCTGTTAGAACATTTGTAAAACAATAGTTGATTAATTGTTGCTTCTAAGAGACTCTCTAAGGGGAGGAGGTTTCTAAGCTTCCTCCTTCTGAGTTCATCTAAAGGGCAGGCAGGTGGGTCAAGCAGCAATATGGAGTCTGTCTTGCTAACTAGGGTCCTTCAATAATCATGAGCTTGATTGTGTGAATAGGCACATAATTATCAAACATTTGCTATTAGGCATATTGTACATATGATAGAGCACATATAACTATCACTATCCTTATCCATTACTAAATATTAAATTGTTCTATAGAGGGGTCATATCAATTTTAGCACCACTATAATATATAAAACAGTTCTTATTGCTTCCTGTCTTTGACAAAACTTGATATCAGGTGTAATTTTTGCAGTCTGATGGGTGAAGGGACACTTGTTGAAGTTTTCATTTGCATTTCTGGTTATCAGCGAGATTAAACATGTTTACTGGCCAGTTTTTAACTCTGAATAATCTGTATCTTCTGGCCATTTTTCTATTGTAAGGTTGTTATTGTTGTTTCTCATTACCTTTTAAGAGTTCTTTTTGTATTCTGAATGCTTTTCTCAGCTGTGTGTATTACAGATATCTTCACTCAGTCTGGATGGTCTTTGTACTTCGCTTATGGTGAATTTTGGTGCAAAGATGTGTGGCATTTTCATATACTGTAGTTACATTTTATCAGTCTTTTACTTTTGGGTTATCCTTATCTTATCTAAGAAATACTTTCCTGCCTAGAGATCATAAGGATAGTCCCTAATATTTCCACCTCAAAGCTCCCCAATTTTGCATTTTACAATTAACTCATTAAGTACTTCTGGGATTAATTTTTGTGTTTGGCATGTGGTAGGGTTCTGTTTCATCTGTAAAACCAGTGGTCCCGGTACCATTTATTGACTAGTCCACCTCTTTTTCACCAATCATTAAGGCTAGTCCTATGTCTACCAAGTACAGCTTTCTGTGCTGCTGACTGCCCATGTTCCAGTGATCTGTCAGTCTGTGATGAAAATCACACCATCTTAACTACTGTAGTTTTACAAGAGACCTTGGCATCTAGAATACAGCAAGTGCCTACCCTTCATTCTTCTTCAAAACTATTTTGAACATTTATGGCACACCTTTAATTTTTATTCTTTCTTTGAGTTTGCCCTAGCCCTGGTATAAACAATCAAATGCTAAGACTTAAGTAAAAAGAAGCAATTAAGCCAAAGTCAGTCCTAGAAATCAATAAGCTGAATATTTAATACCTGGTAACTAAGAAATCATTGTGTAACAGTGAGCATAGAAAGCCCATATAAAATAAAGCATTTATTCACACACAAAAACCTTTTTTGTTTTTAATTTTCTGGGCTGTAGCAATTTAAAAATAGAAGGCAGAGACCCATCCTCTGCTCAGTACCAATGTTCTTGTCTTTATTTATAGAAGCTACTACTTTTAAATATTTTTGTATAGAGAATTTTATGAAATAGTGGTAAACTGTACATTTGTTTGCTGGCTCCCTCAGAACAGCCAAATCAAATGTCAGATTGTGCCTCAGAGAAACCCCAGAAGGCCCTAATTCCATCAGAGCGTGGGTCTAAGAATGAAGTATTGTTTATCTCATTCAAGGAAGACTTTATTTTCCTGCAAAGTGCTCTCAGCAACTTTCCCATTCCCTCACCATGACTCCTTGGTGTTTCCAGTGTCTTCAGATTCAGTCGCTCTTGTATGGACCACAGAACAAGAAGACCGTGGCCACCCAGCAGTCGGTGGACATCCTGTCCAGGTGAGTTTGGTGTCACCTTGCTCCTTCTCTGAGGATCACATTCGTTCCCCATTCAGGACCTCAGAGGAAGCTGTTTCTATCAGGTTCTGTGGACACTTTTACCAACTAACTTTCCTAAGTTGCATAAATGCAAGTTCCTTTGAAAACCCTGTTGTAAAATATCTCCTATGCCCATAGTAGAAAGGAATTCACTCTTGAATAAAGTCAGAAACACAGGCTGGCTTTCAGCCCCTGCAGGTCCAGGCCAGTGCTGGAGAGGGAGGGTGGAGCCCACTGGACCTGCACCCTGGCTTCCTACAGCCCCTGCGTGTCTATCAGAACAGGACCAGAGAGTCCCTGGTCATGCCTTGCAGGCTGGGCCGTGTGCTTTCTCAGTCCCTGAGCAGAGGCCCAGCACTCTCCAGGGATGGCTCCTAGTTCACAGCCTGTGTCCCCCCAGAGTCCTGGAGCTGAGGCCCAAGGCCACCCTCAAGGAAGCATGGCAGCCTCCTGAAGTGGAGCCCCAGACCCAGCCAGCAGGGCTGCCCTTTTGAGGGCAGGGAAGGCAAACCAGGGAGGCCTCCTGCCCACCTCGCCAGTCCCCTCTGCTCTTGTCTTGCTCACCCAGCTGACCAGGTGTTCTCCGTCCAGCTCACCACAGGAGTACCCGGGAATCAACACAGGAGAAACCTTTGTATCTGATGCTCTTGTGCCGGGTTCTCCTCTCCAGGGTACCTCCCCTCCAAGGTGTCTCAGCACAGGCCAGAGAGAAGCCGTGTAAAGGCCTGAAGGCCCACTCTCACCCCACCTCTGCTTGTTTGCAGGGCACGTGAGGGCACCACAAAGCCAAGGCAGTCTCCAAAAGCCAAAGTGGCCTTCTGCACCAGCGCCTCTCAGCGCCCCTCAGCTCCCAGGAAGGGCAGGCCCAACCTGGCAGACTGAAAGCCCTGAGTACACCCCAGAGAAAGCCTTGGGCAGGCTGGGGAACTGCTGTACAAACCTCTCCTACCGGAAGGGGGAATTTAGCAGTCCTTACACAGATTTTCAAGGCTGGCTGTCTGAATGTTCCACAGCAACACCACTCCCACCCTCCACCCCCACAGGCCACACTGACAGCGGATGCCCTTCGGGGTGAGCTGGGACTGCTATGTGGATTTTTGTCCATCAATGCTACTACGGCTGAAAGACTTTTCAAAAGTTTACTTTCCTGTGCAGGAAAGTAAACTCTGCATGTGGCTGTACACATGGCCCCTTCCTTGCATGGATCGAGAGTCAGATTTGAAACAATAAGATTCTGGAAAAAGCCCTTTTCTTATAGGAAAGTATTAGGAACTGAGGATAAAATGCCAATAAAGAGAAACTTGAAAGTACTGATGTCAGTATGTGTTTTAAAATGAAGACTGGGCCTGGGAGTGTAGCTCAATAGCAGAGCACTTCTGTAGCACCTGTGAGGTCCTGGGTTCCATTCCTAGCACCCCAAGCAACAAAACAAAACAAAAAAACAAAAGGAGGACCGTCCTGTGGCTCCTCAGAACCTGAAAAGGTACACGGGGACACTGTCCTTTCACTCGTGCTCGGTTGCTCACTGAAGTTTGCTGAGCACCTAGTATACACCAGATCTGTGTTAAGCACTGGGGACAGAAGAATAACCAAGACACACAGGGTCCCCACTGTCTCAGAGGTTTGGGCCCCATGTGGCACAGACATCAAACACAATGGTGGAATTGGTAGCAACTGCAATGGAGGGAAAGAACTGAGACACTGGCATGGGTGGTGAGTGGACGTCATTTGGCCTGGGGTCAGGGAGCGAGGTTTAAGGAGCTCAGAACCAAGCTGAGCAGGACCTGAGGCCTGCGTGGAGAGGCTGCAGGGGGAGGCACACTGTGCTGCTTCCTCCTGTGGCCGCTGCCCCAGGCAGGATGAACAACTAATTGTAAAGCTAGCAGGGTCCCTAGTGCTGTCCACCATGGTCCTCAGGAGCCCCTGTGCCTACACACACACACACACACACACACACACACACACTACCCACCATCCCAGACCCAGGCCTGTGGGATGACAGCAAGGTACAAAGGTGTGGGCTGTGCTTACCAAGGGCCCTACCTAGTTAAAGACACGGGTTTTGGCATAGATGGTACATTGAAGTCTGCTACAGCCCATGTGTATCCCCTCCAGAACTCACTTTTGAAACCCTAATCCCCACCATGATGGTATTCTGAGGCAGGGCCTTTAGGAAGTAGTCAAGTCATGAGGTGCAGCCCGGTGTCTCTGTAAGGTGTGACACAAGAACGAAGATTTTTCTTTTTACCACGTGAGGGCACAAACTATGAGATGGCTGTCTACAAGCCAGGAAGCAAAGCCCCACCAGAAAGCGAATCTACAGGGTCCTTGACCCTGGACTTCCCAGCCAACAGACCTAGAAGTAACTATGTTGATTAAATCTCCCAGGGTATGGCTCTTCTGTCCGAGGAGCACATCTGAAGAAATGTGTATTTTGATGGATTACTTCATCCTTTCTGTATTTCTTGGAGTAAGGTATCTTGGATTCACAAAACTGAATACATTTGAAAATGTATTCACCAGAAAGAGTGAATTAGGAATGTCTCGCCAAATGTTTCCTATTAGTTAAATTTAACTTCTACAAGGAAGGAAGAATACAGCTCTTTGTGTTTTAATTTTTGTTGATAAACACATGTTTGTTGATTACAAACAGGTAAATATATCTAGTTACCCTTGGTTTCAAGCTCCCATAATCCCTAGATTCCTAAGGAATAGCCATAATTAACCTTCCATTTACACTTAAGGTAACCGACTGTTCTGGCATTTCCCAGGACAGTCCTGGTTTTAGCACTGAAAGTCCTGTGTCCTGGGAAACCGTTTGCCCTGGATAAAATGAGGTGGTTGGTCATATCCTGCTGGCCCTAGGGTTCCAGGTTGTGGTGACAACATTTTTGCCATAAGCTCTCCAGTCTGTACTTGATTACAAGCCGGTTGGTTTACACCCTGTCTACCATGCTTTCCAGTTCTGGGTCGATGATATCGAGTTCTGATTCAAGGGAGGAGTAAGGGGATGGCAACTTTCATATATATTTTTCCCAGTAATTCTGTCCCATCATAAAAACCTGCACAAAAACTCACATTTGCTTTAGAGTTTAAAAGAAACCACACCAAAGTTGACTGGAAACATTCATTCTCTTTAGGAACAATGTGGGGTTTTTTCCTCAGATTTTTATTTCTATACATTGTGACATTTCCCTTTGAGGGAACAGGTTAGCCAAATCAGCTTCTTAGATGATTCCATTCTACGTAGACATCTTAAACTGTCAAACAGCGGGAAGTTGACAAACATTCAATGAATACTGCTTTCTCTAAATAATCCTAAATAGGGCAACAGTGGCTGTTCCTGCCCTGTCCAACCACAACACTGATTTCTCTCGCCTCCAGAGTGACTGGTTTTATTGAAAGGAGCTGAGGGGGCAACTCAACTCGCCAGCATGACAAAGGCAAGCCTTGCTCCTGGGTAACCCAGAGACTTGAACCGATGACAACTCATCAATCCTCAGTGGTGAATGCTTCAGGCAGATATGCATTCCAACGTAGAGAGGAAAATTAAAATCTAAGATGCTTCTTTTCCAAAGTAAGTGAAATGGGTCATGATAGTAATAACCTGTTCACATCAGCATCCATTCACAAGCTCATGGGCTAGGATGGAGACATCAGCTAGGCCCACTTAGATTCATAGTCTTGTCATCAAATAGGAGACTGTCACCTTGGCCAAATCCTAATAAATCACTTAGACAAATACCATTGCCTGTCGCTGTAAAAATACATCACATCTCTGACTGTAGGAGAAATAAGGAGCCCCTGAACAAGTGGTCACCTGTCTACCTGTCTGACAGTCACTAGTTTGTCTGGCAGATGGATAACAAAGATTTAAGGTTGCAATTCGTATCAACTTCCTTTCTATACCCTGACTCAAGGTGTTTTTTAAAACCACATCATCTTGAGAGGTACACTGTAATTCTCCTCCATTCATCAGCTAAGAAAATTTTCTCCCTGGCCTATCTGCTGTAGTGGTTCCTGGGCCCAGACACAAACCCTGTTAGAGGGTGCTGGAAGATCGTCCCACACTGTGCCCCGCCACCGTCAGAACCTACCTGAAGGTGGCATCACCTCGGATTCTTCTTCCTCGGAACCTGACAGTTGGGTCTACTGAGCTGTTACAGGAAGCACAGCTTAGGCAGCATCCTTGAAAGCAACTGATGTGGGCTACAAGAACACTGTGCTGCTAGAGATGCTATCCCTATGTGACGCCACACCTTTAGAGATGGGAGCTTTAGAGACAATACCCATGTGTGAAATAAAACAAATCCAGACAAGCTCACCCTAATATCTTAAATGCAGTGGTGTACACCTGCAGGTCCACACTGCATGGCCCAGGAGTGGGGCCTTGGTCACCCTCCAGTGCTGGGTTGCAGGAAAAGTACCTAGCTCCTTTCTCCAGACACCTCACTCTGTCTAACACATTGCATGTTTCCCTGGACGGAACAGCCCCACTGCCAGGATTTCTGTTGAAAGTGCAAAGCGCTTCTGTGAGGTTGTTGCTTTCTTATTCTTCATTCTGAGCTCAGAAAGACCTTTGATCCATGAGTGATGGGTCAAGAACAGCTTCTCTGGGAGGCACAGTCCACCTCGAGTTGCAGTTTTCCTGCCACAACCAACCTGCCAGTTCAGCTGCAGTCGAGTTCCACGCACTCTTTGTGGTCTGTAGCATCTGCTCCCCTCCAGTGAAGCTGAACATCCTGCTGCTAAGGGTGAAGGCCCAGAGAGGCTCAAGGGTACGGGTTCTGACAGGAGCTGGCTGCTCCTGAGCTTAGGTGATAACAAGACAGAATATTCAGACTGAGCACTACCGTGACCTAGTACCACACAAAAGAAATGGTACTGTAAGCGATTCCTGATCTTCATTTCCCCCACCTGTGGGTCCAGTGGGGGGAAACCTGTGCAGACATAGCAGGCATGCTGATTTGAAATCCTCTCCATGAATAAGACACTATATTCTTTAAAGTGCTACACATAGAAAGCAATTCATTCAAGCACTGAAAGCAATTTCACTCTCTAGCTAGGTATTTTTTCCTAAAGTTGAAATCATTTAGTTTTTTTTAATATAGAGTCTTGAAAAGACTCTGGAAAGAAAAATGTATTTTAGTTTGTTATTTCATCTTAGCACATGCACACAAAATCTATTCTTAAATATATTATTTTAATCTGGTTAATGTTTAAGCATCTTGCCGGTTGGTAATTAATCATAGTTTCAAACGGATACAAGCCACGTTTGTAACCAGGTGCAAAACTGGTAGAAATCGCCTCCACACATGGAGCGAAAACTTCAGAAAGAGGAACTTTTTAAGACTAAAAAGATAAAGTGTTTTTCGTCAAAGTCACATCTCAAAAATAAAACTCCCCAGCCTTTAAAGGCACAAATTCACCTCAAACCTTTACAGATTCAAATATATTATCACTGCCTGGAGTTCTCTAACGAAAGTAAAACAGGAGAAGCTTTGAGGTGAACATCCCTTACTCCATAAAATAAGGCCTTTACCTGTTGGTTTGTTACCAAGTAGGATGCTACTTAAGATGAAATCTTTCTGCTTATCAAAACCACTGTCCATCACCCTCCTCCTCCTCACTGTCTAGATAGAGGAGAGCAACCTTCTTTTCATCTGAAATCACCGACCTTTGGTCTACCATTCTCTGCAGCTGCACCGTCTTATCAAACCTAGCTTGCTCCGTGCCCTCCTCTTGGTGTGCTTCATCCGAAGCAGAGGCCTGAGCGCTCACGCCAGCTGCCCAGTCCTTCCTACTGCCAGCGTCTCTCCAGGCGCCATGGTCAGATACACTGTGAGCTTCCGCTTCCGTCCCTGCCTCTTGTGTCCAGGTGGGGGCAGCCTTTCTGCTACTCACATCCATCTGAAAGGTAAAGGAAGTTTCTTTGGGCCCCAGGGCAAGCTGTCCTAGTGTTCTGCTGCTGTCGGCCAGCTCGCCTATCTCAGCGGGCTCCTGTGAACCAGCGAGTGCAAATGTCCTGAACATGGGTCCGTGGATGACAATGTGTTCTGAGGTTCTGGCCTCTGTAGGGCCTAGCTGAATGTGCCTGAAGGATCTGCTAACGCCTGATGTCATGTCTGCCCCTGACATGTCCCCTGCATCATGCTCCTGGGGTGATTCAGAAACCACCCTCTGGAATGTGCTTTTTTCAGTCATGAGGATTTTCCTACCGGAAGTGTAACTGTGAGTGGCCTGGGTCACATCTGTGGAGCCCTCCCTGTGCACAGTGCCTTGTGAGGTGCTGGACACCATGGACTGGGGAACCACCTGCTCGGTGGCTTGATGCCCCTGAGGCCTGATGTCAATGGGCCCTGGCAGCTCTGCAGTGTGTACAGATCCCCCTCTGGTGCTCCCCTCTGCTTTGTCTGGGGGGGGCACTATGAACTGGATTTGTTCCCTCAACCCTTCTTTTGGGCTAAGCTGGAGGTGCCATACAGAAATCTGGGAACTCACTGGCTCTTTGGTTGCAAAATAATCCCCAGCCCTCACTGCCCCGGACACAGGGCCCTGAAAACTAATTTCCTTTTCAGCATGAAACTGCTGGGCACCAAATGTGCTGTGCCTCCCCCCTCTGTCAGTGTCTGCAGACAGCTCTGCCAGGCCGGGCTCTTCTGTGCCCCCTGCCTCCTGCCAGGCAGAGTCGGGGCCTTGGAAGATAACTTGTGTGGGCACTTGACTTTGACTGGGACCCACGGTAAAGTGCCTCGCACACTGGCTGGCTCCTCGTACGCTGGCTGCCTGGCTGTGGTCCTCACTTACCTCCACCACCTCGCCAGTGGGTCCTCTGTGGGGGACTTGCTCAGTCCTCCAGACTTCAGTGGGGCCCAGTCTAATGTGCCTCACAGACTGGCTTAAGTCCTCCAGCACGTGTGACTGCATGAAGCCCCTCGGGCTGCTGACCTCCACCGTGGCCGACACAGGGCCCTGGGCAGTGGGTTCTTCCGGGCTGCCAGAGGCCTGGCCGGCATCGTTCCCCTCTCCAGCCGTGCCATACAGTTCCCTGGTGGCCCAGCGCTTGAAGGAAACGCCACCATCTTCCCTGTCCGGGCTACCAGGCGCTTGGCCTTGTCGCTTGCTCAAGCTCTCTCGTACCACCGACTCCACCGCTTTCTCTATTTCATCGGCTTCATCTCTGCTCAGCCCCTCCAGGTCTAACTGATCAGCATCCACGGTTTGGGAGAGGTTGACCTCAGCAACTAGGGTCACGGAACTGCCGCCAGTGGTCTGGAGTTTCTTCACGTCCACTGAGACGCTCCCTGGCTCACCCTGGCCCTCTCTGGTCAGGGTGGACAGCTCTGCCTTCATGCGCTCTGGGAGGGTTTCCTCCAGCTTCCCGATGACTTCTGCCAGCTGCTCTCGGGGCTCCTTGGAGAAGGTGTCCCTAATGGACGTGTGCAATTCGTGTGGTATTTTGATTTCTTTCTCAATGACCGTGGGCTCAGCATGAAATTCACCACTAGCTTCCTCCTTCCAATGGGCAGAGCCCATGTCGCCCCCTGGGGAATGTGCTGGAACATCTACGTCCTGCACGTCCCTCTCTCCTGCCTCGCTGTCCCTCTGTCTCCTTCTCCAGGTCCCCTGCACGATTTCATCTTGCCAGGAGTACCTGATGGTGGACTCTTCTTCGATGTGGATCTGCCCATACACCGAGCCTTCATCCTCTCTGTCATGCCCTGCCGGGAGCTCATCTGGAGTCGACACAAAATAACTCTGGTCTCCCTCCGAGTCACCTGCCTCTGACACTTCTTCCGCATGAGTCACGTTCTCCCCAGGTTGCTTGGTCCTTTGATGCTGATTAACTGAGAATGTGACATGGCTCTCTCCATCACGTTCCTCTTCCTCAACAAGCCCCCTGGAGCCTGGAGACACATCGTCAACCTCCTCCACCTGGAAGGGGCTGGAAAGCTCCTCTGTCTTCCTGCCTCCTACATAGCTCATGGGCTCTTCCACAATCTCCACGTTGACAACCTTTGCCCTGCCCTCTCTTCCTTTCAGACCAAGGTTGATTATGTCTCCTATCATCTGCTCTGCTGATTTCCCTTTCAGCCCCACTTCCTTGACATCCTTGCTTAAAAGGTATTCCAGACTGGCTTCATCAGAAACATCGATATCTTCTGTCAGTTTCGACTCCACGACTATCTCTGTCTTTGTTGTCCTTTCTTCACCCGGAAGCTCTTTCCTATCCACGTAAGTGACTTTTGTATCGGGGAAAGAGTTGGCAGATGCTTCCTCTTCGGGAGACTGGGAAAACTGCTTAAGGATGCTGGTAACAATGTTTTCTGCTATGGTTTCTGTCATGGAGTCGCCCTGCAGAGCGCTGGCAGTGTCGCTGGTGTCCAGCCTGAACCTGGTCTCTCTCGCTGCTGCTTTGCTACCCTTACTGTCACCAGCAGCCTTCTTTCTGGGTGTCTGTATGTCTTTTGGGGACACCTCTGATCTGCTGCCCTGGGACACTTCTAGACTAATGGGTATCTCCTTGTCCTTCACAGTCTTCTCCTTCAGTGACTCTTGCCCTTTGGCCTGCCCCCTCATCTGCTGGCTTTCTCTCTTTCTTGCTTCTTTATCCAACTTTGTCAGTTCTTCCCATCTTAAGTTTCTTTCCTCTGAGGCTTTCTCTTTTGAATCAAACATCTTCTCTTCTGGCTTCATTTTGATGGGTCCCGATCTGTCGCTCTCTTGCTCCCTTGTGGCTTTCGCTTCTATTTTCTTTTGCAAAATGATGGTCCTCTCATTTGACCGAGTGCTCTCCGAGGCATCTGCTGTCACACTGTCCCAGCGATCTCGGCATGACTCTTGGATGACAGTGGAACCTTTGGTTAAGTACATGGGGGCATCACTTGTAACTACAGTTTTTGCTCTATCAGGAAATGTTCTCACTTGAGCATCGGTATTTCTTACAAGACCTCTGGTTGGAGAGAAAGTCTGGAAATTGGTTTGACTGTTGACAGTTTTCTCATAAACATCTTTGTGCCGGGTAGTGGCTGAGGCAGAATATCTTGAGGCCAGGAACCCTCTTCTGGCAGTATTTCCAATAGGCATGGTTGTCTGAGATCCAAGGTACCCATTAGAATATGCAGTTGAGCTGTGATTTAAAGCCACAAAAGGTGCTTTCTGCTTTGGAAATAGATTTCTTTCATTTTTCTGTGATACTGAGTCAGTATATCGATAGGATGTATTTCTGAAATCTGTAGATATTGAACAAATGGCTCGTTAAGATGACAGGTCTTGGGCCGGGGATTTAGCTTAGTGGTTTCGCTGTCTGCTGCGCAAGCACTAGGACCTGAGTTCAATCCCCAGTACCAAAAAAGCAAAACAAAACAAAAAGATGACAGGTCTCTCTCTCTCTCTCTCTCTCTAATCATAAAAGCACTATTCCAAGTCCAATCCTACGGCTTCAAAATAAATACTATTACCACAGCTAGGTCCTTATTAATAAAATATTTTCAGTCCCCAAATTAGCTTTTTGATAGCTTTAGAAATCCTGTCACAATAACATATAGCACACTCAATACTTCTGCCTAGTACTTTTCTCTAGTTACTGATTTTAAAATATTCACGCATCTTGACAGAAGTGTCAGAGGTCTGGTGTTAAAGAGTAGCGTATGTGCCAGAGAAGTCAGAGGTGCTGGTGTTTGTGGCTGAGAATTCACAATATTATGATATTTCAGGATCATTAATTCCACTTTGTTGAAATAAGTTTATTTTACTCATTTCAGCAGAGAAGAGCTCTATAATTACAAAGCATGTAATTACTGAACACCAAATACCATACCTCTCCTCTGTCTAACATGCTTTTATTTTTTACTGGTTTCTATGTTAGGCCAGCAGGTATTGAAGAATTTAACTTTTAAGTCTTCTTGATCTCTTCCACTTTCAAATTTGACAACTCTTTGTCATTTGAAAAGGTGCTGGAGCAGAAAGCAGACAGGTTGTCAACACTGCCATCTGTTCTAATGCCATAATCCTGGAGTTGAGAGATATACTTAGGGTATCTGGCTACAGAGAGCTACTCTTCTGGGGCCCAGACTCTCCCGGTGCTCATAGGAATGGCAGCCAGGAGTTAGAACATGGCCAGAAGCCCCATCTGCGCTGAGAGCGCCCCCTAGTGGTTACCCGTACCCTGATCAGGGACAGAGACTCCCTGGTCTCCCTAAGGACAGCCAAGGCCAGGGGCCTCCTTCGGATCCCAGGATACAGGGAAAAACTCGGGGCCAAGACATTTTCCACAAAGATTCCTCTTTTTCAGTCAACACACTGGTCTTAAACTGAGAATGCCCTGAAGATGAACCCCCAGGAAACAGTAGCAGTCCCCTCTGTATGTAAATGAAGGTTCAATGAGAAACATGGAAGATCACAGACTGGCTCTGGGCCAATCTCCTCTTGTCAAGAGGGCAACATTATTTTAGGCAACTTTACAGAAGACACATATGTGTACTGATAAGTACTGATCAATTCACTGTCTAGGAACTCAGCTGTGGGTTCACTTAAATACTTCTGTGTGGGACACAGAACTAGCTGGAAGCACAAAGTCAAATTTGGAGCTTCATCCCGGGCCTTTTTATCTCTTTCTCTTCCTTCTAGCTTATGTGATAGATTTCCAGCCTTATGCATCCACATGTAAAAAACTTAGGTGAAAAAGTAAACCTTAAAATTTGGTGAGGGAATAACTCTTTTTTATAGATGTCAGATGTTCACTGATGCCAGACAGGCTGGTTAATGACCATGTTCATGGACATCTTTGAGTTTTTCTTATTCTCAAAATTAGAAAGCAAACTTGAAGAGTGTTGTCTGAGACCAAATTTCCTGCATCCATAGATGACTAGGATCAAAGTTATTTTTCTGAATCCAATGACCTGACAAAAACATGAAGTGCCTAATGGGAACAGTGTAAACTAAAGTAAAACTACTGAGTTGGTGGGTCCCATGGGTTCAACATCTGCATATTCAACCACCGAGGATCAAAGATAATGGGAAAGAAAATGTACCTGTGTTGAACAAGTACAGACTTTTTCTGGTTATGATTCCCTAAACCATATAGCATAATAGCTATCAGCCCTGCATTTACACTGTGTTAGGTGTTATAAGTCATCTACAGATGACTGAAAGTACCCAGGACGGTGTGTGTAGGTTCTCTGAAGATACTGCACTGCTTTTTGTTTTTTGGAGTTTTTTGGTACCAGGGATCGAACTCAGGACCTTGTACTTTCAAGGCACGTGGTTGAACCACTGAGCTAACTCCCCGGCCTCTGCACTGCTTTATATTAGGGACTTAAGCATCCACTGATTTTAGTATTCAAGCATCGAGAGTCTGTGCTGGAAAGAAATGCCCCCAGACATGGAGGGACAACTGCATAGTGAACATACCATATACGTAACTTAAATCTGTCACTGCTTAACCAGAATTTCTCTAAGATTTTATAAGGCTTACAAGATTGTTTTTGTTTTTGTATTTTGGTACTGGAGATTTTTTTTTTTAAAGTCATCCTAGAAGTTCTTAGGTCCTTCTAATGAACACCAGATTCTCTCATGTCAGTTCCGTGGCTATTGGAAAGATGGCCCTGCCCTGAAGCTCGAGGTCTGAACTAAGAGTCCTCAGCACACCCAGACACATCTTCCTAAGCTGCCACCCCAACCGAAGGTGGCAGAAACAGTACAATTTCCCCCACCTCTGTCCCAAGAGGAAGCAGCTTCCCGGATGTTGACTACCTGCTGCCGAAGGGATACCTCCCCTGCTACTTACAACCAGAGCTTCTGCTTTGGAAAAGGGAAGTAGGGTCCTTTTCAAAGTTGTGACAAACAAGTCCACATCCTCACCTTTCACTGCCCAGCTTTCCACTAGCCCCGTGTTAGCTGGGAAGAGTCAAAATATAGGTTAGGTGAGCAAATAAGTTTATTAAGGACTTCTCCCACCTAACAATTTAAATTACATCCCACTAAAGTAAAATCTTTCTGGTACTGAACTATAGATGAACTACTGTGACCTGAAAACCCATAGCTAAGCCCTGCCCTTCTGGACAAGCAGTGCTGTCCTCTCTCCCCATGGAATGACCAGTTCAGATGGGAAAGCATTTGAAAGTTAAATAATGAGCTTTTCTTACATTTACCTTGTGGTACGTCTTCAATGTGCTCAGTCCAGATTAATATCTCTGGATTACTTTCTCCTTCCAATAAGGCCCTATAAAAAGAATTTTTAAAAATAACTCATTATGAAATGAAAGAGGGCGGAGAGGCTGAGTAAAAATGATGAAGATGTGATATGTATATGTTCCAGTTCCTGGAGATGAATGTAATCACGATGCATCACAAAAGTACACCAACAATTAAAAAATAAAAGAAATGAAAGCGAGAGCTGCCTCTCATAAAAGCATCAGGTAGCACCTGTTCAATATCTTAGGACTTGTGCCCACCGAGAGGTGGGGAGCTCTCCTGCCAGCCCCACAGACCGGGGCAGGGCTGTGCTGCCTCAGGGCTCCGCTCACCTCCATCCCTGGCACCCAGCACAGCACCTCCGGCCACCTGAGAACTGCTCAGCAGGGACCAGCTGAACAAAGAGATCGAGTGGCCAGGGCTTTGGAGCACTGGGGAGCCAGGGCCTCTGGAAAGCCTTCCCCACCGGGACAAGGAGGACATGCACCGGGCAGTGCTGGAGAGATGGGCATGGGGGACACCAGGGTCCAGCTGCTCGGGGCAGCAGGAAGGGATCCAGGCCACAGGCCACATTCCACATTGGGCTCCAGGGCTCTCGAACCGTTGCGGGCCCCCTGCTGTCTCCCTGGAGTCACAGGTCTGTGGCAGCCTGCAGAGTGGCTGAGAGGGGAGCAAGGAGTAACACTATTCGCAAGTAAGGTGGACGGGCTGCATCTGTGGTTTTCAAATTGGGCTCCATGGGGACATCTTGGAGATGAATAAAGAGAAGATAAGAGAGGTGCAGACCCCTCACCTCGCGTAGCTCCCCATGGGCCTCACTCCATCTGGAGTGCTATCTTGTTGGCCCTCTCCATAAAATGGTAAAAAATACCCAACTCGGTGATTTCTAAACTCTGAAATTAGTCTTAAATTACTATCCACACCCACCGCTTCAGGCCCCAGCCATGAGCAGGGAGTGGGCACAGAGGCCCCTGAGCTGGTCACTCCAGGTATCCCCGGAGCTGCTGGCAGCTCTAGGCTCAACACTTGTTTGGTTGCTAGAGTAACGTCATGAAGGCACTGACCCCAGTTTCCAGAAATACACTGCATATGGCAAAGGACAAGCAGGACCGCAGCCCCTTTGGAAATGCTGTAACAGTCCTGTGAGCCAGGCAGGAAAACAGCAGGGAGCTCACATCCAGGCAGGGACTTGGCAGCTCCTGCAAACCGCACGGAGACTTTTTCCACTGGGTTAACTGTGGCAATCCCCACAAATGCAAGAACCCCGGGGGCAGCTGAGAGAAAGCACAGGAGGCAGGAGGGATCCCCAAGGGCACACGGGTGGCCTCGCCAAGGCAGCTGTGACTGAAGTGCACGCATGTGTGGACACCAGGTCCTGGGCCCGGCCCGCCACTCAGGGGGAGGCCAGGAAACAGGACACTGCCCGATAACTGGTCCACACCCTCATGACTGAGCAGTTTAGGTTCCAGAAACACAAACAGCTTCCATCACCGAGGAAACCCTGAGGGCTGCATAATCAGAGGCGCATTCAGGGTGAAAGCCAGACCTGAGGGGCTCTATCCCGGGATAACAGCAGCAGAAGAGGGTCCATCCCACAGCTAAGGCAGCCCCTCGGCCTGGGGAGATGCCCCAGTTCTGGCTCAGGTCCTGCTCGGGCACCAAAGCTCCTCTGACTCACGCTGAGCCGGAACCCACAGTGGCTATGGGGGTTCTGGTCAGGGCAAGAAATTGAGCCAGGTCCCCCTGCAGGAAATATGTCTTCCCCCAGCCCTCAGGGGAGGACGACTCTGTTCTCCTTTTGGGGGAAATCTAAAGCATCAGCAAGCTTACACTGAGCTCAGGACAGGAGCAGGGCACAGAGCGCAGGCTGCTCCAGGAAGGGGGCTGAGACGCAGCATGAGCACCTCCCTCACCTTCGGGGCTCCCTGATCATGGCAGCACTGCAGACAGGCGCAACTCGATCTCTCAGCGCCACGTACTCTGTGGCCCTGGCTGTCCACAGTGCATAGCCCACCAGGAAGAGAGTAAGCGGCAAATCCAGGTGGCTGGGCTCCAGATACTGCCCCCTGCCCTACGCTAGGTCTGTGAGTCCGGAGATGGCAGCATTTTACACAAGTCAGGAAGCACAAATCTCGCAGGTAGACCCTCCACACCATACTCATGAAAGCAAACTCAGCAAATCTCCCTTGGTGATTTCATGCAGAACACCCCATCAGCGGTCTCCTATGAGAGTCTTTCCTCTGTGTCCCATCAGCAGTGGCCAGATCTCAGGAGGCTGGGTGGATGTTGCCTTCTCCACCCCGAGCGTCCAGCACAGGGCCTGAGTGCAGAGCTGGGCACCAGTCATGGAGGTCACACTCGAGATGCAGGTGCACGCGGGGCAGGCAGGGATCTGGACCCTGCCAATGTGGCCAGGACTCAGTGGCAAAGGCAGAAACAAAATGCTGAGATTTCCTTTAATGTTCTTCCTGGAGCAGTTTCAGGAACAGACGCTACACCTTTAAGAAGCGCATCCAGCACAGGGTTGTGAGGTGAGGCTGCCATCAAACCTGGCTATTTTGAGAGCAGTGAAGGAAAACATTGCCTGTAGGCCCTGGAGATGGCGAGAAATGCCAACTCGCTGAATCACGGGCTATTAGTGAGCATTTCACACAGCTCCACAGGTTGGCAGCCCCTCCAGCAGGAAAATAAGCAAATGGTAGGAAAACTTCAGTCCCTGGCCTCATTAAGGAACCTGACACAAGTCCACAATGCGAAAGTGAGCCGTAATGTGGCCTCTGGCCAGGCTCCAGGTCCTAATGGACCACCCACATCCTAACTGGCCCGATGGCAGGCTGTCTGGCACAGCTGGAATTTCAGGGCATATCCACTGCTGTTCACCCCTGCGGGCACAAGGGCCCCACACGATGCAGCCACATCAATGAGGACAGGAGGCGGGAGAGAGAGATGGGCAGAGATGTTTGTGGTAGCAGCGAGCTGCTGAGGGCCTGGGGCTCCAGTGTGGCCTCGTATCTCCTGGCTAACTGCAGGTATGGAGCTGGGGACCCTCAAAGCCAGGAGAAGGACCCCTCCGTGCCCCCTCACTGTGGCTGGGGGAAGCAGAGCTCCACAGATAGAGGGGGGCTGCCTCAGTCACCCCAGACACAGTGACTGGGAAGGCAGAGGAACTGAAAGGAGAGACCAGGTCTGCACCTGAGAGGGAAGAAGGCCCACCGGCTTTATGTGATGGGAAACCAGGAGGCGGCCATGCTGGGCCGTTTCCAGCTGTTCCCCTTGTGGCTGCTATTAAATCTCATCCTGAAAGTGCTCTCTAGGTCAATACCAGAGACTGGAAAAAATAATTGGAAGATCAACAGGGACTACAGTTACTCATAAAACAGAGAGGAAGTGCAGGGAGTAGTAAGAGAGATGGCTCTGGAGGTTGCCCAGAATCAAGTCCTGGGCCTACGACTTCTTAGTTCTGTAGGCCAGGGCAGGCTTCTCACACCTACTGTGACTCAGTTTCCCCATCTGTGAAATGAGGAGAACACATAGGCGTGCAGTGATAATCAAGTAAATAGGTGGAAACTTCTCAGAACAAGAGCTGCCCCGGAGTAAGTATTCAAAAGATGCTAGTTATTTATCATCATCCCTTTCTCCAACCTTAGGAAAAGGTTTGTCAGTTAATTAAAGGCAGTAAAGAGGGGAGGGGGTTCAGGATCATTTAAATTTATAAATAATTGAGTGTTAATTCATTTCTTTGGGTAGCAACCAAATATACTGGTTCAACTCCTCAATCATGTATCTCTAAAACTCCAAGATTTTATTTTTTCTGTTTTATTCATTTCACCTAGTAGCCAAGTAAGTCTCAGTGTCGGTGCATTTTTATAAGTCTTCAAAAGAGCAGGATTTAACTTGAAAAAAAAAGAAATGTATTTCTCCAGGCCTCAAGAAACCTCTAAGAAATGTTTTCCTTTCTGGCACATGAAAAGATACAGACAGTCTGAAAACTAATGGAGAAATATTATTAAAACTAATGGAGAGGGCCGGGGATTTAGCTCAGTGGTTCCAGCACCGGCTTCCCAAGCGCAACATCCCGAGTTCGATCCCACTACCGAGTAATAATGATAATAATGATAATGATGATAATAATAATGGAGAAATATTAAAATGACGAACATCAGAACACTAGGAGTTATCTGGTGCTTCATTAGCAGTCTGAGTCCTAGCATCCTCAGGTTAAAAATGCCATCTCTGCCCCGCGGGATCAGAAAGAGGAAAGAGGAGGCTTCGCATGACCACACCCTGCCGTGACACACACAGAATATTTTTCTGACTCCTTTGTTTCTAACTTAACCTTTTTTTTTTTTGGGTACCGGGGATCGAATTTGGGACCTTGCACTTGCAAGGCAAGCACTGGAACCACTGAGCCAAATCCCCAGGCCTAACTTAACCTTTTAAAAGGACTTTTGCCTTAAAGACCTCAAGCAGTACATCTCTGCATTACATTTTCATAAAAGCTGGCTAGGCAAGAATTCTTTCAGGGTTTTTCTTTTGGAAAACTATGCCTTCCTTTTTTTTAGGCGAAATTTAGAATAATCATTACATCCTTCACCTCCCAACACATAAAATAAAAAGCCTCTTTCTGAATCCTGTCCAGGACTGCAATCATCTGTCAATCTGACCAGAAATCTTGGCTGGGCCTCTCTTATGTGATGCAGTTTCCACATCCTTGGGTTTTGCAGTTTTTACACTGTTTATTCCTGAGCTCATCGTTACCTTGGTTTTTAAATCTGGATATTTTCCATTACATTTTCTAACAGCTTATTGCTGATGACAGGTTTTTTGTGGCTGTTTTGAGGCGGAAGCTATTTCTTTTGTAGCTGTGCTTCTACCAGTCCTCAATCTACAGCAGCTGAACCAGACCCTTGGGGCAGCGGGAAGAGGGCTCCGGACACTGTGGGCTCTGCCATCACTCCCGTCTCTGCCATCTTCATGTCATTGCCCAGTTCTTGGCCAGCAGGATCTGTTCTGGGTGGTCCAGCCTGC